GTAATTTATTCCATTTTCATTTTATATATTTCACAACGGGATGAAAGACAGAGAGACGGTGAAGCGTTTGTTTTGTCTGTCATAAAACATCTGTCTACCTTTTGTAATTTGACGCACATGACAACAAAGAGAAATGGTGGTTGTGGGAAGGGGAGGGGGGAAGAGGAGGGGGAGGGGAGGAGGAAGACTGGAGAGTGAAGGGGAGGAAGAAGAAGAGAGGGGGTGATGTGGGAAAGGGAGGAGGCTGGGGAGAGAGGGAGATATGGGAGGAGGAGGATGAAGAGGGAGAGAGAGAGAGAGAGAGAGAGAGAGAGAGAGAGAGAGAGAGAGAGAGAGAGAGAGAGAGTTTAAATATCTATTTTCTCTGTAATTCTAAATTTAATTACACTTTAACATATAGAAAAACAAACAATTAGCAGTATTAAAAGGAACCAAATAAAACTGTTGTGTTATAGAGAAATAATGTACATAACCCGTATATATTTAACCATTACTCACGTTCATTTGAGATTTATAATGAAAGTAAATGTTTAATTCATATAATAAATATTAACAAATAACGAATGATTATGGTGTTAATATTATACAACATATATTTTTGTAATACTTTATATTATATTATCAGTAGTGGTAATAAACATGATTTAATACTTGTGTTTATTATTATTATTATATATTAACATACGGTTAATATTTATTATTGAATGGAATAACTTTTATTTATTTTTTTCTTTTATTTAGTGAAAAAATACTGATTGAGATGAAGACTTACAGACAATTGGTTGCACTTAAACGGACTCCAGTTTTAATAGGCTAAACCCTTAACCATTAGCTGTTTAAACCCATTGAGACTATGGGTAGGTTAGGTAGGTTTTGGGCATAATTGACCATATCCTCTCCACCTAGATATCCAACCTCACCTTAGCGTATCCCAAGAAGCACCTGTCTTCATCACTCACTGTTTTAATAAGACTTAACTTACAGCATAATAAAGTATAATATCATAAAGTCCAGCCAAATAATTACCAAATACAATTATTCTTTTAGTATCTCCCCCCCAAAAAATTACCTGTTGGAGCCACGTCTTCATTAATTGCGCCGTCAGACTCAGGTGCGTTTGACTTTCACCTCTACCGTCCAGGATAACGAGAGTGAAAGTCGCATCCCCTTTATAATTTAAGCTCGTGGAGTTAAATCGTAATGTAGAACTCAAGATAGATTCTGTCTTCATAACCTACAAGCAGCTTCCTCCTTACCTTATCAACTGTGCATGACTAATGATATGAAAGAGTAATGTATAAGAATTTCCTCCTATTAATTTCTGCTTGTGGTTGCAGCTTTCTCTCGTTCATTATTCATGCATAGGATTAATGCTCTTGGGAGTTTGATAGGTAAATACACTCTCTTGCCTCGGGTCATATTTCATGTACACGATAGTTGGGCGATACGTCATGTGTGTTAAGTAGTGGGGGAGGAGGGACAGCAACCATCCTTCCTTCCCTACTACAGAATATCTATATAATGTCGACTCAAAATCTTTCTTTACCAGTCAGTGTTGCTGTGTGTTCGTGTGTCGTAAAGAAGAGAGGTTTCTGTTGGTTTTTCATACGTATAAAACTTGGTCGTGTTAGAAGTAACTTTGAAGTTCATGTAAAAATATGAATAGAGGTCATTTTAACGTTTTTATTACAATTATACCAAGTTGAAGATTAAGAGGTTGGCTCCTGTATGCAAATTGATGTTTACGTCATTAATTATTATGAATAAGAGAAAAGTTACATGTAGTGAATCATTAGTCATTAGGGTTATGGCATGTTATTACCAAAATTACAACTTTTTGACCCCAAATCGTCAATCAACGTGTTCAGGAAAACCTGTGACGAAATTTTGAATAGAACCAAATTTGTTATTTTTTTTTTTGAAAACCGTAAATTTTTTTGTTTTGTTTTTGGTCGAAAGAAATATTTTTCTTAGAATTAGATATTGACGTGTTTGATTATTATTTAAGCACACCTGCAATAACAAAAGCGGCAATAATTACTATCGAAAAATTACAGGTAACGAACTATCAAGATTTTAAAATTAATTAAATTATTCCAGAATGATTACGAATTTTTTTGGTGAACTAGATTTACATTTTTTCTCCCAGATCCTTTATGTGTGTTACAGATTACTTGTCTTGGAGACTATTAACAATACATAAAGTGTCTCAGCTGGTACACTGGACCAACAGGTGATAGATAGGTCAGGTCACCAGACAGTCATCTCCTACTGGTAAATTCTTCAAAGACAATTCCTTATTTTACTTATGCACAATAATTGTCTAATGGTAGACCCTGCTGCCATATGGCATCACAATTTTTTTCCAAGTCCCAGGTTGCTGATCTGACTTTCTGCCTCATTTACACACAGTTGCAGGGTCTCAATTGTATCTCTTACAATTAGTATTATTAGTATTATTAGTTTTTTTTATCTTTTGTATTCATTATTATTATTATTA